GCCTGCATTTAAATCCAGGCTCTACTGCCTGGGATCTCGGGCAAGTGACCCATCTTCTCCAGTCCCAGCTTCCTCATCAGTAAGACAGGGGGATAGCACCTACACTGCACCAGGATTGAGTGAAGATTAAATTAAACAGCACACACAACATCCCTGGCACAGTGAAGTGCTTAATAAAGAGTCTGTTTCCTGCCATAGGGGAATGAACGGAAGATTGGAGAGTTAGGCATGAGCCCAGAGATAACTTGCCTTCATGCTCAGGAACAGGCATGAATTTTGTGGGTCAGAGGGCTGGGGGGAAGGGGTCTGCACCTTAAAGGCCCTGGGAAAGTTTCTCTTCTCTAAAATCCCACTGTTCTTCAGCCACCAGACACAAAACTTCTGCTTTAATTCCTCCCTCCCCCCCCTTTTTTTGAAAGACAGGGAAAACAATATATTCATAAATAAAAATGCTCAGCAGGCTGGAAGACTGTCCCTTTAAAAGCCTTAGAATGGGAAAGTCAGAAGAGACCAGAGGTCTCAAACTCAAATGACTGGAGAGCCAGGCAGGTGACATAAATGTGGGAAGCCAGCTGGAAAGAGACTTTGATGAGCTGGACAGTATGTGTGTACTGATTAAAGGCCTTCAAATAAAATTTAAAATAATTCTCTCACCCCGATAAAGCCCTCCCACAGGACCCATTTCTCCCAAGGGCTGAAATGAGCGGGTTCTCCCCTAACCCCTTACTTAACAGAGACCAAGACTGGAGCCCAGAGAGGGCTAGGACTCGCCCAAGAGCCGCAGAGCCGGGCCTGTCCCATACTGGGCCTCTCTCCCTCCTTCAGACAGAGGGTAGTTTGGTCCTGCAGAGCAGGTTGTGGCAGCTCCTTAAGTGGAAGAGTTTCTCCTCCTTCTCTAAGTGCCTGGGTGGGGGAGAGATTGGGCAATAGGTGGCAAGACCTCTGCCTCTCACCCGGATGCCCTGGTCTCCATCACCTCATCCCACAGCCATTCAGGGACAGAAGCCAAGTTTCCGATGTCCTCTGGGCCCCTCCAACAACCAGGACAGAGCCTGGAATCACAATGCCCGCCTAACCAGAGGGACTAAACAGTCAGGAAGCCAGGGTGCCCCGTACCTTTTATCTGTTCTTCACAAGACCCACAGCTGTGAAATGAAGATAGGATAGCACCTTTTACAGATGATGATAACCATAGCAAGCACTTACATGGCTCTTACTACATGCCAGGCTCTCTAAGCAGTAGGTACCATTACCTCGTTTGACAGATAAAGAAACTGAGGGATAGAGATGCCAAGTAATTCCCCGCAGGCACTCTAACTAGTAAGTGGCAGAGCTGGGAGCCTCTCAGTCGTCTGTCTCTAAAGCCCAAGTTCCTCGCACTGCATCACGGTGCCCCTTTGGGGGGCAGCACAGTAGGGGAAGAAGCTGGATCTAATGCTGGTTTGCTTTTGAGGCCAGAAGGATGGGAAGAATCCTCTCTGACTCTGGAATAGAGAGACAAACTGTAATCTCAACAACACAAGTCTCCCAACCTCCGCTGCCTCAGAGGCTCTCTTCGGCAAGCCCGCGGCCTGGAACACGGACTCGATGTGCGATCCAGGGCCAACGCTCTTTGGGGGACGCATTAGGCTCAGCGTACAGCCAGGGCGTTTGTCTGCCGAGAGCGGGGGCGGCCCTCTAAGAAGGTGAGCCTCCCTTGAGACTCGGATGAAAGCAAAGCTCATCTTGACCGGCGAGGGGCGCGGTGCCCACGCGGGGCTTCTTATAGCTTCAAGAGAAGACCCCTGCCACATCACTCCCTGAGTCCACCCGGGACTTGAAGGCAGCTCTGGAGATTGGGGGTGGGGGTGGGAGAGAAGGGGGCGGGGCCTCGAGCAGCGGAGGGAGGGCTTGGTCTAGGGCGAAAAGGGCCTGGGAGGAGTTAGAGTTGGTTGGTGCGGGGGGGTGGGAGGGGGTGCGGTTCGTGGTGAGGAGGAGGGATGAGAGAAGAGGCGGAGCTGGGGGACCCGGATAGTTGAAACGGAGAGGGGGGGTACTGGCTGGGAGACCGTGGCGAGGCAGTGCGGGAGGATGGGAGGGGCAGGGCTGATATTCGGGGCCCTGGTAGGTGGGGACGAGGCGAGTTCTCCTCTCCTCCCCAGATGCTCATAGTCAGGAATTCTCTGCCATGACATTTTCCCGAAGGGCCGGTCGGTCGGAACCGGTCCACCAGTCTCTGCGCCTCCCCCTCCCTTCCCTGGGGTGGAAGGGGCCAGGGGGCGGGGCCAGGGAAAGGGTTGGGGGGTCCGTACCCGAAGCCCCTCCGCTCGCCACCCCACTTTCCAGCTTCGAGAACGGATGCATCCAGCCACGGCTCACCTCGGGGGCTCCATGCCTGCTATGCGCTGAGATCCAGGCTGAGACAGAGATCGGGAGTCCCCGGCGCCCCCCTCTCCCGCAGGGTTGGGGCGAAGAGGCCGCCGAGCGCCCCTTTCCGAGGGGAGAAGAGCCGGCGCAGACCCCGTGGGTCCTGGAACTGGGGAGGCAGAGAACCTGCTCCTCGCACGGTACACCCATTTTCAAGGGTTTGGCCAGGACTCTTTCCGCACCAAGACCCCTTCCTGGGGCTTCCAGCCCTGGCTCATCTGGGGAGGGTACCCCCTCCCGGCCGCGCCCCGCCCCCGGCCCCCGCCCCGCCGACGTCGTATTAGCATGAGCGACGCAAGTGGCCCGGGCACCACTCGGGGGCCGAGACTCGCCGCGTCACAGCCCGGAGTGTAAAGGAAAAAAGAGTAGGCGGCGGAGGAGGAGGCAAGAGCCAACGCGAGGGGAGGGGAGAGCGGCGGCGGGGCCAGCGAGCGGGCGGGCGGGCGGTAGCTGCATGCCCCTCGGCCCGCGCGGGCGGCCTCTCAGCGCTGCGGGGGCGACTCCGGGCGCGCCTGAGGCGCAGCGCGCTGGGTATCCAGCCCCGGCCCCTCGGCGCGCCCGCCTTCCCTGACCGCCCCTGAGCCCAGCGGCGGCGGGTCCGGGGCTCGGCTCCGAGCAGCTGCGGCGCCCCGCCGGTCAGGGTCCTCACCTTTCCCCAGGCGCAGGGCCATGAGCCCTGCAGCCACCTGAGGCGCTGGGGGCGTTGCGCGGCGCGGACCGCGCCCCCGAGGTTCTGCGCTCTCGTCTCTGCACTGCAGGACGCCCGCGCCCGGCGGAGGCGTCCTCGGAAGAGCGGCGGGGTAGGGGCCATGGAACCGGCGGCGCCGGCAGGTCGGGCCCGGACGGCAGCCACCAAGCTGTCGGAGGCGGTGGGCGCGGCGCTGCAAGAGCCCCGGCGGCAGCGGCGCCTGGTGCTGGTCGTCGTGTGTGTGGCACTGTTACTGGACAACATGCTGTATATGGTCATCGTGCCCATCGTGCCCTATTATGTCGCCCACATGCACAAGGGCCCTACTCCGACGACCGAAGTGCGGATGCCCATCCTGCCGCCGCCCACTCCCGCCAATACTAGTGCCGACACGGTCAACACCTCAGAGTCCCCGACGGCCGCGTGGCCGACCCGGTCTGCCCTGAAGCCCCACCACCCCACGGAGAGCGAGGACGTGAAGATAGGGGTACTGTTTGCCTCCAAGGCTATCCTGCAGCTGCTGGTAAACCCCCTGAGTGGGCCCTTCATCGACCGCATGGGCTACGACGTGCCGCTGCTCATCGGTCTGGGCGTCATGTTCGCCTCCACCGTGATGTTTGCCTTCGCGGAGGACTACGCCACGCTCTTCGCCGCGCGCAGCCTGCAGGGCCTGGGCTCGGCCTTCGCCGACACGTCCGGCATTGCCATGATCGCGGACAAGTATCCTGAGGAGCCCGAGCGCAGTCGCGCGCTGGGCGTGGCGCTGGCCTTCATCAGCTTCGGAAGCCTAGTGGCGCCACCCTTCGGGGGCTTCCTCCACCAGTTCGCAGGCAAGCAAGGGCCCTTTCTGGTCCTCGCCGCCGTTTCGCTGTTCGACGCTCTGTTGCTGCTGGCCGTAGCCAAGCCCTTCTCGGCCGCGGCGCGGGCGCGGGCCAACCTGCCGGTGGGCACGCCCATCCACCGCCTCATGCTGGACCCCTACATCGCCGTGGTGGCTGGTGCGCTCACCACCTGCAACATTCCCCTCGCCTTCCTGGAGCCCACCATCGCCACGTGGATGAAGCGTACGATGGCGGCGTCCGAGTGGGAGGTGGGCATGGCCTGGCTGCCGGCCTTCGTGCCGTACGTGCTAGGCGTCTACCTCACCGTGCGACTGGCGGCGCGCTACCCACACCTGCAGTGGCTTTACGGCGCTTTCGGGCTAGCAGTGATCGGTGCCAGCTCGTGCGTAGTGCCCGCCTGCCGGTCCTTTGCACCACTAGCGGTCTCGCTCTGCGGCCTCTGCTTCGGCATTGCGCTGGTGGACACGGCGCTGCTGCCCACGCTCGCCTTTCTCGTGGATGTGCGCCACGTCTCGGTCTACGGCAGCGTCTACGCCATCGCCGACATCTCGTATTCCGTGGCCTACGCGCTCGGGCCCATAGTGGCGGGCCACATTGTACACTCGCTTGGCTTTACGCAGCTTAGCCTTGGTATGGGCCTGGCCAACCTGCTCTACGCTCCGGTCCTGCTGCTGCTGCGCAACGTGGGCCTCCTGACGCGCTCCCGCTCCGAGCGCGATGTGCTACTGGATGAGCCACCGCAGGGTCTGTACGATGCCATGCGCCTGCGTGAGCGCCCTGTGTCCAACCCAGACGGCGAGCCTTGCAGCCCGCCTGGCCCCTTTGACGAGTGCGGGGACGACTACAACGACTACTACACCCGCAGCTAGCAGCCCCGCTCCTCTTCCAGGCCACCCGCCCACTCCCCACCCCCCGGTCAAGGTGGCTGCTCTGTGAGCTCACTGGCCAGCGTAGGCTCAGGGCCCGCCCCTTTCAGCGAATACCCCAGCCCCTCCCTTGTCTTGACTTCCTCTGCCCGAATTCCCTCTCCATGACCCTTTTTGTGTCCCTCTCCCTCTCGTGCAATGGGGCGTGGAGCACAGAGGCACGCAAAGCGATGGGCTCCTGACAGAGATGAAGAGGCCGGTGGGCCGCCACCTCGGGGCTCCTCTGTGTAGAGTCATGCGTCTGTCTATCCTTCCTTCCTACCTCCCAGTGCCAACTTGGCCGGCCGCACCGCGGTGCCTCTGGCCGGAATCAATAAACCATATCTGTCCGAGACCCAGTCTCTTTACTGTCGGGGGTGGGCAGCCGGGCACAGGGCCGGGGCAGGGGAGGTCACGTGAGCTGGGTCTAGCCCCAATCCAGGTCTCGGCCTGGCGGGCACGCTGAAAGCCTGTGGCTCTTTTGCTACCTGGAAGAGGAGATACGAAAGAAGCAAGTCCAACAAGGGCTCTCACCCACGGACGCCCTGGTGTACACGCCCCCTCAGCCAGCGACAGCCCCGCCTCCCAGGCCCAGCGCAGCGCCCCAGGGCGCCGCCCGGGGGAGCCTGGGGACCCGCTTTCTCCGGGTTACTGGGCCCCGCCCCTTGAGGACACGCCCTGAGTCGCCACAGATCTCTAAGGCGCCGGGCTGGGCTTCCCTTCGAGCCCGGCATCCTGCCCCGTCCAGGCCCCAAAAAGGAGTAGAGGCTGAGCTATTCCGGGCAGCGGAAGGAAAACCGGCCCCATCTTTCAGGGCCCGATCTCTGAAAACGCGCGTGTGTGATGTGTGTGTGTTCGTTAGAGAGCTAGGCTCTATCTTATGAGGAGTAGGGGAACAGTTGTGGGTGTGTCTGCTGTGTCTCGGGCCCTGCGGGTCTGAGTCCCCGCAAGACAAGGAGAGGGTGCGAGTGTGGGAGCTGGTGCCAACTCCCCACCCCCCACCCGGTCCTGAGTGAAAGCAGCCACCCAGGGCTGTCAGAAGTCTCCCCACCTTGAGTGTGGGTGCCCAGAGCCCCAGGCCCGCGTTTGTGCTCCGCTCCCAGTCCTGGAGCCTGCAGCCCAGTGAAGGGCCGAGTCCTCCGATTGCAGCGTGAAGAGACCACAGTGTTGGGGTATGCCTGTGCCTTAGACAACGCCTGTGGGGGCCTGCACTGCTGGTGTGTGCACGTCTGCTCTCGGGCTGCGTGTCTAGTGTGTGTGTGTTTGTCTAGGCGGGGGTCTGTCTTTGTGGGTCTTTGTGTGTGTGTTCCTGTGTAGGGTGGGGGGAGTTCTTTGTCTGGTAGGAGTGTCTGCCTCTGGCTGTGGTCTCTAAGCATCCTCAGGTCTGTATCTCCTCTCCCCGCCTAGTGCCAGCAGGGATGGGGTGGGAGTAGAAAAGGAGGGAGAACCTGCTGTGATCAACAAACAGGGTTTATTATCATTATTATCATCATCATCATCATCATCGTCATCATCATCAATTTTGAAAGAAGTTGTAGTAGGCTTTGAGCCTGGCCTAGACGGTGGGGAGGGCACAGATTTCCCCAGACCCAACCCTCCCAGGGTCCTGTGGAGGCATCCTCTGCCAGGATAATAGGGCTGGGGGAGTGCCAGGACTGGGGAAGGCTGGGCTGGGGGCAATGGGCACGGGCGGGGCAATGTCCTGCACCCCTTTCTCGGGCCTGGGTTCTGCTGCCCTTGCACGAGTTCATCCGGGAAGCCGTCCGAGCAGGCGCTGGGGACCGGGAGGTGGGATCCCGGAAGGCGGCGGGTGGTGGGGGGCGGAGAGACAGAGGACGGAGACGGAGAGAGACAGGGGTGGAGCTGGGAGAGGGAGGAAAAAGGAGAGAGGGGAGGGAGGAGGAACAGAAGGAAGGAGAGGACAGGCGTGGCCGGCTCGCCCTCAGCCATTCGCGAGTCGGCGGGGACCCGGCGACGTCGTAGGCTCCACCGCGGACAGAGGTGGCAGCCCCCACCCTTGCGCTGCTGACGCGTCCCGCAATCCCTTCCCGCTCACACTCTGGCCGGCAGTCCTGCTTGGTGCGGTGCAGCGGCGGCAGAGGCAGCAGAGCCAGAGGAGAACAGGTGAGAAGGGCTGGGCTGCTGGAGCGCAGCGCGGGGAGCGCAGCGCGGGGAGCGGAGGGCGGCGGAGGGAGGCTCCGTCCAGGGACCGCGCCGGGGCCGAGAGGCCCCAGGACCCGCGGAGTCCTCCGAGTCCTGAACGGCAGCGGCCGTCGGGGGACCACCAGGATACTGCTGGATTCCGTGGCTCTGGTGCTTCCCCACCCAGAGTAGGGGCAGGGGGATCGGGAGCTGGACCAGAGAAGTTAGAGGGAAAGGACTTGGAGAGGCTTGACCGACAGGGCTCCGCGTGCGTGTCCACACTTCTCCTGGACTCCCATCTGCTCAGTACCAAGGTCTGCACTTTCTCTGCCCAGTGGGAGGGTCCGCAGGTCTCAACCCGACCCCTTTGAAATGCCGGCGAGCGGAGGCGGGAAGTGGGGAGCAGGCGTGGGAGGCAAGTATGAGCCGGGTCGCAGGGAGTCCCTGGAGCGCGCAGACAGCCTGTGGTGCCGGGGCTGAGCTCGTGTCGGGCCTCCAGGGCACAGCAGAGACCCTTCAGGCAGCTTTCGGAAGCCAGGCCGGAGGGAGCATGGATTGGAGGGCACGAAACGGACAGACTGACAGAAAGATACATACACTACACCCTTTAGGCGCCAGCCCAACGGCTAAGGAGGAAGAACAGCTGGCGGGCGGTGACCAGGCCCTTCTCTTTGGCCCCCTTGAAACTGTTCGGCTTCCATCTCTTGCGCCACTCCAAGATGTGAGGTCTCCGAGGCTTAGCTAGTATCTTCCCGCTATGACGCTGGCCTGAGGCCAGAGCAAGAGGAGGCATCGGCTGTCTGTCTCTAGGGCCTTTACCAACCTGACCTTGCTCTTGTGGCCCCCTCAAAACTCTGCTGCGCTGGTGTGGACCCTCACCTGGACGCTGCCTCTCCCGCTTTGCTGTGGGTAGGGGTAGCCCCTACGTTCCACGTCACTGGGGGACCTGGGGACCACCTAGACCAGAGCCCTCTGGCATGGTGCCCACAAAGACTCTACATTTTCTGCCCAGCGCTGCCAGGCAGCCCCATGCTCCTCCACCCCTGAGCCGGGTTCATCTGTCTTTCTGAATGCTCTGTCCTTGGGTCAACTGTGCCTGCACCCAGCCCCTACCTAGGCTGTCTCTGCCTGGGGTTGGGTGTGGGATGGGGGTAGTGGAATGGGCTGAGTGTCCGCTTTAGGCTCTTGGGAGAGAATAGGGCATGGGCGAGTGGAAAGCATGGGTGTGTACCTCTGCAGGCTTACATTAGCAGGATGTCTGAGGGTAGAGATTGGGCCCCACTAGCCTTGAAAACTGGTCTTTGCCCCTGTTGGCCTGGCTCATTTCTACTGCACCTTCAAAATTAATCCACCTCTCTCTAGGCTGAGTCAGGTGGCCCTTAGGGGCCTGGGCTGCCCGACTTCCCTGTACTATCTCTCTCAGCATTCTCATGCCACCTACACTGGGAGCCTGCAGACCAGAGACTGCCTAACTCACAGCCCATCCAGCAGGGTCCTCCCTGCCTTGACCAAATCAGCCCAAAGTGCCTCCTGGAGCCCAGAACCTTAGAGGACCTTGTATTCATTCATGCGTTCATGCATGCATTCCTTTTACTCAGCTACCCAGCACTGAGCCTCCTCCATGCCAGGCACTGGGCTAGGTCCCAGAGATGAGGCCCTGAACACAGCAGGTATGGTCTTGCTCTGGAGAAGCTCACAGTCTAGTGGGAAAGAGAGATTTTTTTTTGGTATAAAATATTTTTATTCCTCTTTTTTTAAATAAAAATGTATATATTTGAGATATATAACGTGATGTTTTTATATACATATACATAGTGAGATGATACTACAGTCAAGCTAATTAGCATATCCATCTCCTTACAGAGTTACTTTTGTGTGTGTGGGTGTGTGTGTGGTGAGAGCACCTGAAATCTAATATGAAGTTTTTTTTAAAAAAAGCTAATCTATGGTTTCAGACGTCAGGATGGTGGTTACCTTTGGGAATGAGGGAAGGGATAGTGATAAAATGGCATGAGGGACATTTCATTTCTTGACTTGGGTGATGGTAACATGCTCTCTTCACTTTGTGGTGGTTCATTGAGCTGTCACTAATGATTTGTGCACTTTTATGCTTTGGCAAATATTGTCAAAAGATCGAAAACAACAACAGAAATAAAAATTAAATAAAAGTGTTAGAAATAAAATTGAGAAAAATCTTCCAGAAAACTGATGAGAAACAGAAATGGGAAACAGATGAGAATAGATAAGAAAATAAGAATAACAATCCAGAAAGTTCAATCTGTCAGGATTTCCTGAAGAGAGAATAAAGGGAAAGAGGGATGTATTTTTTAAATAATATTAAGAGAAGAAAGTTTCCCAAAAGTTAAGGAAAAAATTTAAGAATTCTTACCTAGCATTAAGAACAATAAATGAAAATAAACCTACTCCAGGTCACATTGTTGTAAAATTTCAGAAAATTAATAATAAAGAGAAAATTGTAAAGGACTTCATTCTTCCCTTCTTCAAAGGGAAAGAAAATGATTTATGTACAAGATTTGAGAAGCAAAATAGTATTGTGCTTTTCGATAGCAATCTATTAAGTCATACCTCACTTAGAAATGTTCATTCAGTCAAAATTATGAAGTGGGGAATAAAATAAATATCTTTTTAGACACACGAAATCCCATATCCTCTTTCTCTGGAAACTATAGAAAGATGTGCAGCTTGTCCCAAATGAGGGCATATAGCAGTGAGGAAGAAAACTCTGACCGCCAGACACAGAACACGGGAGCTCCAACCGGGGATAAAATAGGGAAGAACCAGAATGACAACTTCTCAGAACTGGAGAACACTCAGTCTAGACTGGGGCAGAAAGACAGAGGGACTCCAGAGGGATGTCTCCAAGGAAAGATGGGGAGCACGGGGTTAATGTATTTGGATTTGCATAAAATATTTTATAATTTTGATGGAAAATTTGGTAAAAATAAGTGATGACAGAGAAATACAGCTATGTGAATGTTGAATATTGATTTAAACAACTGGAGGGAAGAGAGCTATCTTTATCTTCTCTAATAGGAAGTTAATTTTACATCTTTTTATGCTTTTATGACGTTAATTAGTGTGCTTTTACTTCCACTCAAAGAATTCCCTTTAGCATTTCTTGTAAGGCAGGTCTGGTGGTGATGAACTCCCTCAGTTTTTGTTTGTTCAGGAAAGTCTATATCCCTTCTTTCTGGGTATAGAATTCTCGGTTGACAGTTATTTTCTTTCAATAGTTTGAATATGTCATCCCACTCTCTCCTAGACTGAAAAGTTTCTGTTGAGAAATTCACCGATAGTCTCATGCGGATTCCGTTGTATGTAACTTCTCTCTGTTCTCTTGCTGCTCTTAAAATTCTTTCTTCATCTTTGATTAAATTTTAATTCATCTTTAATTAAATTATAATTTAATTATAATGTATCTTAGTGTAGCGCTATTTGGATTCAACCTATTTGGAATCCTTTGGGTCTCATGGATCTGGATGTCCATTTCTCTCGTTAGGTTCAGGAAGTTTTCAGCCATTATTGTTTTGAATATACTTGCTGTCTATTTCTCTTTCTCTTTTCCTTCTGGAATTCCAATAATGCAAATATTGTTTCTTTTCATCGTGTCCCATAATTCCCAAAGAATCTTTTCTTCATTCTTTTTTATTCTTTTTTCTTTTTGCTCCTCTGACTTGTTAATTTCCAATGTCCTATCCTCCAAGTCACTGATTCTTTCTTCTGCATGATTGAGTCTACTTTTGAAACTCTCTATTGAATTCTTCAGTTCAGTTATTGTGTTTTATTTTTTAATTTTTTTGGTGAGGAAGATTAGCCCTGAGCTAACATCTGTGGCCAATCCTCCTCTTTTTGCTGAAGAAGATTGGCCCTGGGCTAACATCTGTGGCCATCTTCCTCTACTTTATATGTGGGATGCCTGCCACAGCATGGCTTGGTAAATGGTACGTAGGTCTGCACCCAGGATCTGAATCAACAAACCCTGGGCCACTGAAGCAGAGCACATGAACTTAACCACTACGCCACCAGGTTGGCCCCCAGTTATTGTATTTTTTAACTCTAGGATTTCTGTTTGGTTTCTTTTTTTTTTTTTTTTTTTTTTTTTTTTTTTTTTTTTTTTTTTTTTTTGTGAGGAAGATCAGCCCTGAGCTAACATCCATGCCAATCCTCCTCTTTTTGCTGAGGAAGACTGGCCCTGAGCTAACAACTGTGCCAATCTTCCTCCACTTTACGTGGGACACCACCACAGCATGGCCTGAGAAGCAGTGTGTCGGTGTGTACCCGGGGTCCAAACCCAGGCTACCAGCAGTGGAGGGCACGCACTTAGCTGCTACACCACGGGGCTGGCCCCTGGTTTCTTTTTTGATGGTTACTATTTCCTTGTTGAACTTCTTGTTTTGTTCATGTATTGCTTTCCTAATTTTGTTTAGTTGTCTGTCTGTGTTTTCTTGTAGTTCACTAAACCTCATTAAGAGGATTATTCTGAATTCTTTGTCTGACAGTTCATAGATCTCCATTTGTTTAGAGTCAGTTATTGGAACTTTATTAGTTTCCTTTGGTGGTGTCAAATTTACCTGATTTTTTGTGATCCTTGATTCCTTACGTTGGTATTTCCACATTTGAGTAATTGGGCTCCTCCTCCAGACTTTACAGGTTTGCTTTGGCAGAAACAGTTCTTCACCAGTCAGCTCAGTTTGGGTTTCTGGGTGTGTGTGCTGGTAATGTCCTTCGGCAGGTGGGGCCTGCTATTATGGTCTATTTTGGGGGTGAGGCAACTGTTTGAGCTCTGAGGATGGGGATGGGGTGGTGTGCCACTGGCTGAGAACATTTGAATAGGACTGCTGTCTTGGTTCCCTACCCAAGTGAGGCTGTAGGGTGGGTTCTGCAGTTGCCTGGAGTCTCTAGTCAGGCTTACTAGGTGGTTGGGACTGGATACTATGTACAGTAGTAGATGGGGCAATGAACTGGCTTCCCTGCCCTGGCAGAACAGTAAGGCAGGACACAGAGCCTCTACAGCTCGTTGTTTTGCACTCCAAGTTCCCTGACTAAACAGCACACTGGCTTTGCTGTGCAAACTTTCAGCTCTGCCAGCCTACCTCCCGGCTTGAGTGCTGCTGGGCTGCACAGCTTCCAGTTGTCACCAGCCCTTCTGGTCAGATAAGGCCGAAAGACACTTTCAACAGCAGGTGGGGCTATGTCGCAAGTCCATTGCCTGGGTGGGAGGAGGAGGGGCCACTCCAGGCTACTCCCAATTTTCTAAACAGGTTCTCCAATTGGGAGAGGCTGGGAACTACCCTCAGACTTGGCTACAAATTAATCCCCCTGCCTGTGAATAGCATGGGAAGACTCCATGCCCAGTACTGGCTTTGCTCTGGGGGAATCAGCTCTGCCTGCTCACCTCTTGGCATAAGAGCCACTGGACCACACTGCTTCCAGGAGTTGTCACCATCCCTTCTAGTCAGATGGGGCCAGAAGACACTCTCCATAGTGGTTAGGGCTGTGATTCAGCTCCTTGACTGGGCGTAGGCAAACCAGGCTCTAAGGCCAGCAAAACTTGTTGTGTGAGGATCCAAATCAGGCAGGTCTGTAGCCCGCCAAGTTGCCTGGTCAGAGTGCACCTCCGACTTGGTTCTGCAGATGAGCAAAGCTGCTGCTTGGGATTACTACTTGGGCACTGCAGGTATACACTCAGTCTGCCAAGATCCGTGTGCTGATTATTGCAAGCCCCTCTCCCCTTCTCCATCACAGTCAGATTCCAAGTGGTTGAGCCCTGCAAATTCCTATGCAATCTCTGTGGAGTGAGATCAGAGTAGGGGCTCCCACAGAGTGACCCACAATGCTGGGGGAGGGCTGGTTGTCCCCCCCGGGCTCTTGGGAAAGAGAGATTTTAATCTGCAAAGCACATATCTATTGGATCCCAAGCAGTAACAAAGCCAGAGCTCTGCCAACAGTCCCTCCTGGATCTGGAGTGGGCAAGCCCAGCCCTGCTCCCTCTCCTGCTGCCCTGGGCCAGTCAGTTGGGTCTAGATGACAGCAGTCTTGTGGAGCAGGTACCAGCTGGAGGCTCACTTCTGGCCCCACCCTCTCCTGTCTGGGGGATCAGAAAGGACACTGTGGCTGGAGAGCTGGTCTGGACGTCAGGAGATTGGGGCCAGGCCTACATGAGGCCCGTGTACACTGCTGTCTAGCCCTGGCCTCCTTACAGGGTAGGGTCAGACTGTGGAGGTGAAGGGTCCGTGGCGGGTCTGTGTGGCTGTGGTATTGATGCCTCCCTGCTTCTTGGCCCCCAGGTTTGCACCTCTGCTTCCCCAACCAGGAGTCGCCAAGATGCCCATCCGAGAAAAAGCCCCCCAGAAGATGGCAGCAAGAACTCCCAGCAGTGAGGAAGAGACTGTGAGTGATTTTTAGAGCCTTCTCTCCTATCCCCTGCTCTCCCCTCTTACATGCCTTTGCTTCCAGAACAGTCCTGAGTGGGACTGGCCCCCAGCACTTGCCTGGCCCTGGCCCTACACTCTCCTGGGCATGAGGCCCAAGCTGCAGTCCCTGCTCTGAGCCTGCTGAAGAGTGCAGGAGGGTCTGGAGGGGCTGGGAGTGGCTTCAGGGGGTGCTGAGGGAATGAGACAGCCACATTTCCTAACCGGAAAGGCCAGGGAGAGCCCTTGACTGGACCAGGTACTCCTTTCTCTCCCAGGGCTTCCCGCCACCCAGTGTTCCACTTCCCACGGCTTTGAGCCCAGTGGAGTGGCCTCAGGGTGAGGCTGAATTCCCTACTCTAAGCCTTGTCACGCCCCAGCCCCAGCTGCTGTCGCTAGTTCAGCCGTGGAGCCTTAGGCACCGTCTTCCCCACTGGCTTGAGACAGTGCTGCCTCTCCTCGGGCTAGCATCCTCCTTCCGCACCCAGACTCACCTTCCAGAGTGATAGAGCAACACATCTGATCTCCAGGTTGTCTCACAGGTTTGTTCCTCTGCCACACTTGTCTTCTTGGCACCTCCTTACCCTCCACCCCACTGAGGGCTTCATTTGAAACCCTGATCAGAACTTTCTGGCTTCTCTCCATGAAGTTGCTTACCACATTGTCCCAACCTCTGCAGCTAACAAACACCTCTGTTGTTGCCTCTTGTCTGTGGCACATCCTTCCCTTTGGGCTGTGGCTGCCCTCAGAGAAGCCCTGTCTCTGCATCGTCCCTGAGTCCAGCCCAGGGCCTGGCTCACAAGAACTACCCAGGAAACGTGTATTGACCTGAGATCCCAGGGTCCAAAGACCCTCATTAGTACAAATCCCTGCCTCTGGCCCCAGGTGTGGGCCAGAATCCCATGAGAGTCTGGGAGGAGCCCAAGGGGCTGAGACATCTGAGCAGAGATTTCCTGTCTCATTTCTTTTACCCATCACCGATTCCCATGAGCCAGGCTGCGTCCCAGGGCACTGCCAGAGCCCCAAAGAAGGGTGGCTTGTTTCTAGCAGGCCAGACCACCAGCTGGGCTGGGCTTTCTGTAGGTGCTTTCTCGCTCACCCACCACACAGACCCCCAGACTCCAAGAGAAGGAAGAGGGAACCAGAGTGGTGGGGTGGGAGGCCTGGACCTGGCTCTCTGGGAGCGGGCTGAGCAACCTGGCATGCTGCCCAGACCCAGCCCTGAGTATTTCCCAGGGCAGGAGCAGCCCCTAGTTGGCACCGGCATCCTCCTTCCTCGCCCTAGGGCAGTGACCTCTAAAGACAGGCTCAGGCAGGCTGAGGACTACCATTCATTCATCAGTGCACACACACATAGTCCCGGTCTGCCCACGGCTGCCGCGTGGGGGGGCTCCAGACTGTGCAGCAGCAGCAGCAGAGCAGAGGCAAGCTTTCTTTTCCTCTACTTTACATGGGACGCCGCCGCAGCATGGCTTGACAAGTGCTGCGTCGGTGCGCGCCCGGGATCCGAACCGGCGAACCCCGGGATACTGAAGCACAGCGCGCGCACTTAACGGCTCCGCCACCAGCCTGGCCCCAGAGGCAAGCTTTCAAAAGGCCCCCTTACTCTGCAGCCCACCCGGGGTGGAAATTCACTGCCCACCCCACCCAATAGAGGGGAACCCCCTGAAAGAAGGCAGCCGACTATCTGCCAACTTTGTACAATTGAAGCAATACTATGAAAAGTCCCGGTTTCCAGGTTTCCAGCTAAGTGAGGAGGAAGGAAAGGGAGGGGACGCAACAGGGAGCGGGGGGTAAGGGAGGGATCGACTGAGGAGAAAGGAGCAGAGCGGATGTTGAATGAAGACTGATTTCAGGTCCCAGCTCTGCTGCCAAATTGCTGAGTCACCTTGGACTAGTCTCTCCACTCTCTGAGTCTCAGTTTCCCCATCTGTAAATGGGACAAAAATCCCCTCCCAGGCTAAGCCATAACATAGTTGAACACACACGTGAGATCCCCGGGTGAACAGAGCTGGTAAAGTGGGCAGCACGGAGCCCAGGCAGGAGGTCAGCCGAGGGGCGCTCCACTCAGGCTCTCTCCACCCTGTGGGGGCCCCCAGAGATTATGGATTTCCTCTTAGGAATCACTCTGGAGGGATAAGGACAGTAACCTCATAACACTTCGTGATGTACCTATTTGGGGCCAGTTGGTTTGCTCATTTAATTCTCTCTGTGCCCTTCTCAGGGAGGAGTTGTGATTTATGTCCGGTGGGTGAGGATGCTGAGGCTCAGAGAGATTAAGAGAGGAAGAACTTCCGCTGTACTCCCCTTGTCCATCCCATATCCATGGGGATCAAAATGCTCCTCCCTGGGTTTCATACCTGGGAGGGACTTACTAAGGAGCCCAGGGTATGAGTCACCTTCCTAGGACACATCCTGCAGAATTCTGGTCATTAGGGCAAGCAACGAACTATGCTTCCCTCCATCTTTCATCTGTCCGAATCTTTCCATTAGAGTCACATGCTTTGGGTCCAGAGATCAGTTGGATTCTGGGGCCCCAGCTGGGAACAATTCCTAAATGAAGAGTGACCAGCAGCCAATATCAATACCAGGACTATTTCATCTTAGACCCATTCTTTATGGTTTATAAACACTTTCACGTCCATGATCTTTCTGATCCTATGAGAGGTAGAGGTTATTGCCCCCATTTTACAGAAACTAAGGCACAGAGGTAGGAGTGATTTGCTTAAGATCACACAGCTGGTCAGCAGCAGGGTCAGGGCATGAACCCAGGTGTGCCTGGTGCCAACATCAAGGTCTTTTCCTTTGCACTTTGTCCCCTGCTGGGGGCAGAGCCGGGGTGTGGGAGAAAGCAAACAGGAGCTTCCCAAGTCTCACAATTCTGCTGAGCTGAGCCCTGGAAAGAGACATGTCCCAGAATGGGGAGCAAGGATAGAGGCGGACAGAGACAGACATTGGGGGTCAACTTGGGGACAGGCAGGGACCACACTTAAAGACAGGCAGAGCAAGTGTCTGTGAACCTTCTCTTCTAGGGGCTGCCCAAACTTCCAGTGCCCCCACTGCAGCAGACCCTGGCCACCTACCTGCGCTGCATGCAGCACTTGGTGCCTGAGGAGCAGTTCAAGAAGAGCCAGGCCATCGTGCAGCGGTTCGGGGCCCCTGGTGGCCTTGGCGAGACCCTGCAACAGAAGCTCCTGGAACGGCAGGAGAAGACAGCCAATTGGGTAAGAGTTGCTGGGAGGGGGCGGACTGGGGGGCAGACAAGGGACCCACGGGGTAGGGGCACAAGTAGGCATGGAGGCAGAGGGATTTGGATGAGGGGCAGATAGGTGACAAAGATGGAGTAGATGGGAGGACAGGGATGGGGGAGAGGCAGAGGGACAGCAAGGGGCAAAGGTAAGAGACAGACAAGAGGTGGGATGGGAGATAGGGATGAGGACAGAGAGGGGACAGACGGAGATAGAGATGGGGTGATGGGGAGAGACAGGGTACAGGGATGGAGACAGACGAGAGACAGGGATGGAGGACAGAGAGGGACAAGGATGAGGGACAGATGGGAGACAAGGGCAGGGGCAGCAGAGGATACAGATGAGGTCAGGGAAGCAGAGAAGGGTGAAAGGCAGGAACGGGACACTCCTGAGGATGGGCAGGGGATTTGGACGAAGCACTCAACAACCTGGATGGGAAACCGGGATGAAGGGAAGGAGAGAGCATGGGGCAATGACGGAGGGCAGGCATGGCAGGCTGGGGAGCACACGGGCCCAAGCACATAACTGGGGCTCAGTGATTGTTCTTGGAATGAATAAACGAAAAGGTGCATGATCCAGTCTCTCGGGGCTGCCAGGATGGGACTGGTGGGCTCCACAGACAAGGTGCCCTTGTTTGGAGGGGTGTGTGGCCGCTGAGGGTAACGGTGCCTCTTCCTCACCCTCTCGGCAGGTGTCTGAGTACTGGCTGAGCGACATGTATCTCAATAACCGCCTGGCCCTGCCTGTCAACTCCAGCCCAGCAGTGATCTTTGCCCGGCAGCACTTCCAAGACACCAACGACCAGCTGAGGTGAGGCCACCATGCTCCCGGGCTCGCAGCTTGGGAGTCTGCCTGGCGGAGGGGTCCTGGCCACAGCCCCAGGAAGGAAAGGCCGAAGCTCATGCCTTGGCTGAGCTTTCTGAGGCCAAATGGCCCTGAGACAGTGACTGTCCAGGCCATGGGGTCAGGAAGGAGGTTAGGCAAGGCTGCTGTGAGTAACAGACACAAGGTCTTCCTCAGAAGGTATTTCTTTGGGGTGGGGTGGGCACTAATGGGGCTCATGGGTCCCTCAGTGTCCCCACAGCAGTCTTGACCTGGCTGAGGCCCTGGGAGGAGGTGTGGACCCTCTGACCCCGCTGGGACTTGAGGCTGGGACTGCCTTTGCGGCCCTCCAGCTGCCAGCTCTCAGAGGCTCTGAGGGGGTGGAGATGGTTCCTTCCCATCAGCTGCTGCCGCCAGAGCCTCTGCCATCTGCTGCAATTTCAGAGCTCACTGAGCCGCTGGAGCGGCCTCTGCGCCCACTGGTGACGGTGGAGGGGCCATCCACGCAGGGGAGGGGCGGGATGGGAGGATCTCCCTGCGGGAGTCTCTCAGAGCCAAATCCGGTCTCAGGACCTGCATGTGGCACAGCATGGGGACAGTTCAGAGGGAGGAACAACAAGAGGCAGAGCCCACTTCGGCCTATGGGCAGGGCTCAGCTATGCTAGGAAGACCCAGCCCCCTCCTCCCTCACCAAGAGAAGCCCAACCAACCTGCTGGCCGAGGGCAGCCTTCCCCCTTCCCCTGCAGCCTGGGCTTCCCTTGGGCAGAAAGAAGTGTGCGGATGGATGAACGACTTCTGAAAACAGTTCTCAAAATTGCATCCAAGGAGGCATTTTCCTCCTGATACAATTAAGCCAGAGCTCATCATCCACGGACAGTTAAGATGACACAGTCCCGTGGCACAATTCTCTGGTGCCTTTTCCCCCCCAGGACCTGCTTTCCTTTTCATTAGCACTAAGGGGACCAAATGATTGACTTTTCCCAGGAGACTGGATTTCCCAGAACCCCGGGGTCCTGGCCCAGTCCAATCCCAGCACAGGCCTTTCCTAGGAAGACCCCCACCCCTGCTGGCTCTGCTGCCTCTCCTGGCTTCCTCTCCCTCATCTTCCTCCTCATTCACCTTCCAGTTTCCTCTCCTCCCCCCAGTTCTCTCCACAGGATGGTTTTTAATCCAAGGCTCGGGAAAGACTGTCAGCATCGGGGGCGGGCAACAGGAATCCCACCTGGTTAGGGTGCACCCCAGGAGCCTAGCATCTGGTGGGTGGTCGCTGAGTCTGGGAGAAACAGAGAGAGGGAAGGGGAGGGGAGGAGGGAGTTGGAGAGAGAGAGGGAGGAGGGAAGAAGGACAGAAGGAGGGAGGAGGGAGAGGAAGGTTGGAGAGAGGGAGGGAGCCCGGGCCCTGGAGGAGAGGCTAAGGCCTCGTCTCTCGTCTCTTGGCAGGTTTGCAGCCAACCTCATCTCCGGAGTGCTGGACTACAAGGCCCTGCTGGACAGGTAGGCCTGGGCCCAGCCTGGGCAGGGAGGTGCCCTGATCTGGCACAGCCTGCTGATTCATCTGTCTCCCTGCCACACTACACAAGGAGCTCCCAGAGGGCAGGGATCCTGTCTTTTCCCAGCTCCTGTCACAAAGCAAGTAACATCCCCCCCACCACACCCCCAGCATCAGAGCAACCTTTACCCCAGCTGGCCCAACCATCACTGGTTCCTTTTTCTGGGGTAAGCACTGTTCTTCCTTGATCTCTTCAAAATGCTCCCCTCCCTCCACACCTCACATGTGCACACGCACCACGAATTCATGTGTCACGAATCTGGAGAACACACCAGAAGGTGGGGAAGGAAGAGTTGTTGGAATGAGGTGAGGCTGAATTCAGCCTTGCTACCTGCTACCAGAGGGAATGGTCTCCCCACTCTGAGCCTGTTTTCTCAGCCCCGCCCCACTCCAGAACTCGGTAAGCTGACCCAGTGGACAGAGGGTGTCCCAACAGATCGAGAGAGTGCATAGGCACCATGGGTAATCACTGGCGTTAGGAGGAAGGTCTCCCCTCTGGCCCAGGAGCAGCAGGGAGAGTGAGAGGATCTGCAGGACCCAGGGTCTCCAGAGGCGGATAATATAAGGGCATCAGATGCTGGAATAAGAGAGTGGCCCAAAGCAATGTTTGTCGCACAGAAGAGGAAGCTGAGGCTCAGAGACGTTAAGTGGCTTATCTGTGGTCACACAGCCAGGAGGTGGCAGAGTGAGGAAGGCACAAGGGGCGAACTTGACTCTCTTTTCAACTTTATCCAACTCCATCTTACCCAGCCTTGGAGCAGAGGCTCAGGCCTGCAACCCCTTCAGGGTGGGGCTGCTCCCTCTGGAGAGCGGCTCGGGGCTCAGGCCCTGGGGTCAGCAGACCTGAGTCTGAATTCTGACACCCACAACGCAGGATGTGTTGACCCTGGGTGAGAGGAATCACTCCTAGCTGTAGTCTCCTCTCTGTCAAATGAAAATAATAATAGTAGCGCCTCGACTGTCCTATGAGATGAGGCCTGTGAAGCTCTCATCCCCAAGCTAGGAGCACAGCAGGGTCTCCACACATTTCTGAACCAAACACTCCTGGACTTCGCTCTGCTCACTCCCCTCTGTACCGTTACCTGGGTTACCTGGCGGGGTCACCGGACCTTCCACGACTGTCCTCCCTCCTCCTGTGTGTTTCTTTGGCCGTCTCTCTTCCTCACTGGGAGTGTGCTGCCATCTCCCAGAACTCCCTCCTCCTGCTGCCAGCTCCGATGGTGGGTCACCCAGTCTCTGATTTCAAAGATCCTTATCCCTTACCATGCCCCAGCAGGACAGGAGAGGAGGAAGGGCCAGGGCCCTGGCCACTGGGGCTGGTGACCTTGTACCCCACCATCGCTGACGGTGTAGACTGTAGACTCTCACATGTGTGCATGCGTGTGAGTGCACACTCACTTGGATACACATGCATATACACCCCACATGAGGGTTCCCACGTCTTATGATTGCAAACGTCGTAAGGCTGGAACATTTGCCTGAGTGCCTGTTTTGGACCCTTAATTCACTCATTCATTCATTTGCTCACTTTGCAGTGTATTGATGCTGGGAAGATGAAGGGAAATAAGGCCCCATCCCTATTTCAAAAGTTCTCAAACCATTTGGCAAGACAGACACATAAACAGCACAAAACACAGCTTCGTCCGTTCCCCTGAGCACCACACTTGGTTATGCGACCCCCAGACATCCCCCTGGGCGTCTCTCAGTCATTGCAAACTGAGTCATCCCCAGAGGACCTTGGGTCCCCTCCCCACCCCCAGCTTGCCCCTCACCTTGCTTGCCCCTCACCTTGCTTGCCATCTCAGTAAATGCCAACACACCCCTGGTTCGTAAATCCAGGACCCTAGAAGTGACCTGTGCTTTCTTTCTCCCTCGCCTCCTCATCTAATCCATGCTCAGGTGTGTCACTCTCCCTCCAGAACCGGTCCCTATGCCTCCTTTCTGGCTCTTTCCCCGCCCTCCCCCATTGGCCCGTATCACCTGCCCTTCATCCCAAAGGCTCCCTCCCTGTTGCCCCAAGGGCTTTCACTGCACCAAGAATAAAATGACACTGCTTTACTGTCTCATCTGCCTTCTCTTTACTCAGCTTCAGCCCCACTGGCTTCCCTTCTGCCTTGGACAGGTGTTCCTTAAACAACCTGGGGTGAAGGACCAATATATTTTTTAATTCAGTAAAACGTTTGTAAAACTCTACAAAAATGAATTAGTAGAAAAATGGCAAAATATGAGACCACTTGTTTTATTATTAGATTCAACAGACATAAACATCCTCTATCAAATCGCTACAAAAGTTTCTGAAAGCTCCCTCTGATTCCCGCGCTCACCCTGTCGTGGGCTGGTCGTCACAGTTCAGTCCCACACCCGCCCTTTGAGCAGCAGGGCCCTGGACACCCCACCCGGCCCACCTGGCCTCGCTCCACCCAGGCCAGCTCTTCTCATGGCTGCCTCTTACCTTCAGGGCTCAGCTTACACGTCTGTCCTTAGTGACCCTGCCCCTGGCCACTCCTCCTCCCCTGCCCATCACTGTCTCATCGCCCTGCTCACTACGTGAAGCCCTCCCAGTTTACAAGTTTGCTGCTTGTTGTCCGTGCCCCACCTACGCATCCCAGGACCTGCCCCATTGGATCAGGAAACTCCTGTCTCTTTTGCTACTATATCCTCAGATCTCACAATGGTGCCTGGCATAGACGAGGGCTCAGTAACATGTGCTGGCTGAAAGGGTGGAGGGAAGAAGGAGAGAGAGAAAGAGAAAGAGAGAGGGAGAGAGAAGAAGGAGGAGGAGGAAGAGGAAGGGGGAGAGGGAGGAAGGAAGGCAGGAAGGATACAAGGCGTGCTGAGACCACAGGAGAAAGAGAACTTTCTGCCTTGAACTCAGAGGAGGCTTCTAGAAGAGGTGATGAAGGAGTAGGCTCTTGAAGGAGTGGAAGGAGTTTTCTAAACAAATTAGTTGAGCGCAGGGGTGAAGGCGTGCCAAGCAGAGATCAGCACAAGCAAAGGCACAGAGGGCTGCAATGGCAAGCTCTGCACATGCAGTGCGGGAGGCAGGGGTGAGGGAGGCCAACGGCTGGGGAACACCCGAGGGTCTCCATGGGCTGTGGAAAGGGGGCACTCCTCTACTCTAAAAGGTGGCAAACCGAGCTCTTTGGCTGCCATCTTAATACAGTTCCGGGGTTTGCACCCTGCCTTGTCTAATCAAGCTACAGTAAAGCCAGTCCTGCCCCCCGGCCTCCCTCCGCCCTCTCACTGCCTGCCTCCCCTGCGTGCTCTCCCCTTCCAGCCACTCCATCCCCACCGACTGTGCCAAGGGCCAGCTGTCAGGGCAGCCCCTCTGTATGAAGCAATACTACGGGCTCTTCTCCTCCTACCGGCTCCCCGGCCACACCCAGGACACGCTGGTGGCCCGGAAGAGCAGTGTCCTGCCCGAGCCTGAGCACATCATCGTGGCCTGCTGCAACCAGGTAAGGGGCCCCTTGCTGCAGCAGCCTCTTGGGCTCGGGGAGGGGTGCACGTGCACTCAGCCCCTCGGGGAGAAACATGGTGAGTGGGACAGAGTGGCCCCAAAGTGGGGTCTCCTGACTCCCAGTCAGTCCCATTTCTCTTCACTGGTTGGCTCTTAAGAATGAGGAGAGTCATCAATTGAAAATGCCTTTGCTGGGCTCCCATTTCAGCACTGATCAGCCAGGTTAGGATGAAAGAACTGCCTGGATGGACCGAAGGTCATTAATGAGACCCAGCATGGCCTCAGCTCCTCCACGTGCAGTCACCCAGGCCATGGCCTTCCTGGAGACCACACACAGACAGACAGACAGCTTTACGCACTGACTGTTGGGACCTCTGTGTCCAGGCCATGGGCTCGGCACCGACACACATTCGTCCTGTCTGATCCTATAGTGACCCTGCAGAGGGGGCCTTAGGATCTCCATTTGTCAGATGAGGAATGAGACTTAGACAAGTTAAGTGGCTTGTCCAAGGTGGGGGAAGGACACCTAGGTCTGGCCAATGCCACAAGTGCACACTCCATCCCCTGTAACTCAGGTCTTCAGACTGGGTGCCAGGGAGCCAACAAGAGCCCATGGGGGCCCAGGGGACAGGCTGTGCATGAGGGCTCCTGACCCTTCACCAGCGCCCACTAGACTTTATATTCTATATATGGAGGCTCCACATATATATTTCACCTGACAAAAATTATTTTGTTTTGATTTTTGCTAAAGCCCAAGTTTGACGCCCACCTCAGGTTCTCCCCTGGTATTTGTTCCACAATGTTTTCTTCTTGGGTCAGCTCACATTTTCAGTCTAAGTTGAGAGCTCCGTGAAAGTCTGCCACCGGAAGGTGGCTGTTCCCAGGTTTGAAGCCCACCTGACACCCTGGCTGGCCACAAAATGAGAACCTTCCTCCATCTTCATTCAAGAGTCAAACCTAGCATTTCCCAGCCCCCACACACTATAGTATCCATCCCTTCCAGAAACGTTCTCAGGGATCCTGCTCTGGACCAGGCCACGTGGACTCTGCTGAGGGCATGGGTCCAGTTACTGATGTCAACCAGCTGAAAAGGGATCTTGACCTGGGCCTAGGAATAAGACCCTTTAGAAAGCCCGAGATTCTAGCTTCGAAGCTACTGAATGACAGCTCACAGGCCTTACATACAAAGCACATGTGGGTACACATGTATGTGTACACATATGCATAGAGCTTTTTGTGTGTTGTTTTTCCATTTTAATCCTCCTCTGCATATTATTTGCTGACTTCTTTTTTTCTCCACTCACCAGTGTGTTTGAGATCTATCCCTATAGCTGTATTGAGAGCTAGCTCATTCCTTTAACTGCTAGGTAGACATACACTGGACAAGTATACTAACATTTCACTTAGCCGTTCCACTCCTGCAAACATTCAGGCTCCCTCTCCCATTTTGCTATTGCAAACAAGGCTGACATGCACATTCCTTTATATCTCTTTCAGGGCACAAGGATATATATTGCTCTAAGCCTTAGGCTAAAGTGTGTATTTATAAGAGCAATTGCTGAATCATAGGGTATGCACCTTTTTAGTTTTGATAGACACTGCCTTCCAACAGCAGTTGTACCAATTTATACTCAGTTCCCCACAAACACAGTGTTTTATGTGAACTAGGAACCACAGGATCAAGTCTTCTTTTAGCTAAGTTTAATCGGGCCTTCTTTGATTTGGAGCAGCCTGGAGTCCAGCACAGTCAATAGCATTGGGTTGGTCGCCAAATTGCGACTGTTCAGAACCATCACATACCTTGGGAACCTTGGGTCCGAGCATCTCCAGTCCATGCTCACGTGTGAACGCTCAGTGAAGGCCTGACGCCTCGGGCCGGCTGCCATGAGTGACATGTTTGACCTGTTTCCCCCACAGTTCTTTGTCTTGGATGTTGTCATTAATTTCCGCCGTCTCAGTGAGGGGGATCTGTTCACTCAGTTGAGAAAAATAGCCAAAATGGCTTCCAACGAGGATGAACGCTTGCCTCCAATCGGCCTGCTGACGTCAGACGGGAGGAGCGAGTGGGCTGAGGCCAGGACGGTCCTCGTGAAAGGTTAGCAGCAGTGCCCAGTGCGTCTCCACACTCATCTCATCCTCATGCCCATTGGCTTTCCTTCCTCCAGGGTCGGGCACCGTGCCTCATCCCCATTTGCCATAGCACTGGGAGCGCAGGCCTCCCTCCAGCTCAGGACCCACCCGTGGCAAGTCCTGCTGTCAGCCCAGGCGCCTTGATGCTGAAGGCACCTTTTGTACCTTCGTATTTCCTCTGACAATATTCCAGCTTTCTGGGTGAGGCTGACCAGCACTGGAATACCGGGATGTCCGGGAATATTGAGGGAGGAAAGGTTTCGAGCTGGAGGAAGGCTGGCCACAGTTAAGCAGTTGTTTACTGGTGGGCAGGGCTGGTACTCATTTTAGGGGTCTGAGTCACAGGGAGAGCTGTCAGATGGGGACTTAGGATGGAGCTCCCCTCTGGGAGGGTGGTTGGCTGTCTCCTTCTTGTGGTTTCTTGGAACTAGAACTTTTCATCTTCAAGCTGACCTTATCCTTCTGGCTGGTTACTGCTCTTATGCAAGTTTCCAAGCATTTCCATAAGAAAGCGCATAATAGTCTTACATTTTTTAAATCATTCTTCTGGAAACTACTTTTCAAATCCAAGGCCAGCCCTAGTCCCAAGAACTAGATGAAGTGCCTTCGTTTCTTGCCTACATTAGAGATTCTGGGATGAGAGGCAAGACTTTTGTGAGCCTGCCTCCATCTGCCCCTGGGGCTTTCATCCCGCCAGGTGTCCATTAGATACCCTAAGTGTCTGTAAGCTGAGGACCTGGGCTAGGCCTGGGGAGTGTAAGCGACGGGGAAGATGAAGCCCCTGCTCTGAGCAGCCCACTCAATAGAAATCGGGAGAGAGGGCACCGGGAGGAGAATCAAAGGCACAGTGATGCAGTGTCTGCCCATGTGAGGCAATAGAGACTGCAGGCGCCAAATAAATGCTCCAGGGCTTCAGAGAGAGGAGGGAGCCCTTTCAGTTGGGAGATTTTGAAAGGCTTCATTGGAAGAGGTGGGAATGGAGCAAAGCCCTGTGACATGAGTGAGAGGGCAGGAGGGAAGGACAGCATCCAGGCGGGCGGACTGACTGCAGGCAGAGCCAAGCACCCAGCAGGGACCTGTCTGCCCTACCCGGTACCACAAGGAGAGCAGCCTGGCCACCGAAGACGGCCATACTGGATGTACTGGGAGAATAAGAAGGTGGTGGGGCCTGGCTCCCTGGCAACAGGCCCTTGCATTTTCTGATCCCTTTCCCTAGAAAGTTCTTCCCCCAGGGCTAGCTGGCTCCTTGCACCCTCCAGAGCTCAGCTCACCACAGGCTCTCTCTCCTTGAGCACCGCACTCCCCCACACCAACACTCACACACTCTGTCACCTTGACCTGGTTTCTCGTCTCAATTGCCTTTCTCCCTCTCTGAAGTCAGCTTTTCCTTTGTTTGATTCATGCTGATTGTCTGCCTCTGTCCCCCATTCTATAAGGTCCAGGAGAACGGGGGCCTTATCCGTATGGTTTAACTTCTGGATCTGCTCTGTCAAACACAGTAGGTGCCCAATGATATTTGTTAAATAAAAGAATGAAGGGTTACTAATGCTACTGAGCCCCACGCTTATTTCCCATTTACCAATTAATCATTCTTTCATTCAATTATTGGGCACCTGCAGAATGCTCTGTCCTAAATCGGGGGCTACAGGAGACACAGGGAGGAGTGAGAGCTGACCCTGTTCTCACAGACCTAACCGCGAAGTTGGGGAATTAATAACTTATCATTTGAAAGTGAGTTCATTCCCTTAGGAGACCATGGTGTAATCAAATCCCACTCTTCTCCCCTCCAGGGACAGAAACAGGCATCAAAATAATCACTCTGCTTCCAGTACAGTTTGCACTTTATTAGCAGGCCAGGCCCAAGCCATGTCCCTGCAGGACTGACCAGGATTGCCTTGAGGTCTAAGTGCTTGGGCTGCGCTAATCAGAATTAATTTGTTAATGGCACTTGATCTGGCTTTCTGAATGAAAGTGCTGTTTCTAAGAGAAGCGCGACAGAAAGACAGAAAGGAGAGGGCACATATGCCTTCCCCTCGGAAATCCTATTAATCCGGTTAGCACTGACTGTGTCATCTGCACAGCAGGAAAGCAATCCTTCACAAAGCCCTCATCCCTGGAACAGCCCTTTCTCATGGAAGGGAAACCATTTAGAAAACTATGTCAGAGTAGAAGTGAAAGATTATGGCAACTGGAGCTAGAGTTGGGAGTGGAGATGGAAAGACATGGGTGGGGTCTAGATATATTTCAAAGTTGACATGATAGGAAGGAAAAGAGAAGTGAGAAAGGTTCCTAGGTTTTTGATCTGAGCAACTGAGTAGAGGGTGGCACCATTCACTGAGATGGGAGCTAGGTTGGGGAAGTGGCTACAGAATGGAGAAGTCCTTTCCAAGTACGTTAGATGTGAGATGCCTTGAGTCATCTAAATGGAGACGTCAAGTTAGATCAATGTGTCTGGAGCTCAAGGGAGAGGTCAGTACAGAGATATAAATTTGAGAGCCATCAGCACGTAAGTGATATTTAAAGTCATGGACCTGGCTGAGATCATCTCAAAAGAGAAGAACGAGGCCTCGGAGGTCAGATGAAGAAAGATGCAAAAGGGATTGAGAAAGAACAGTCCATGAAGTCAAGAGAACACAAGGAGATGAGTCACAAATATCCAAGAGGGACGGAGGGAGCGGCCAACCACGCAGAAAGCTGCTGAGAGCTCAAGGAAGAGCAGGACAGAGATGAGACTCTGGGCTTGGCCACCCTAAGTCATCAATGACCTTCACAAAGGTCAGACTGGAGTAGTAGGAAGAATGAATGGTTGTATGCTGATGGAGATGATCCAGCAGCAGGAAGAAGTTGTGGATGAGACGGTCAATGAGTAGAATCAGTAAGTGTGGATGACTCTTTTCAGACATTTTGGTGTTAAAAGGAGCAGAAAAAGGGGGGAGTTGCTGGAAGAGGATGGGAGTCAAGAGAATTTTTTTTAGTAGGAGAAGCAAATACACGGTTGTATGTAGACAAGTGCATGGTAGTAATCCAGGACGAGAAGTTGTCAGTGAGGAGAGAGGAGATAAATAGAGGGGTGGAATTCTTGCAAAGGCAAAAGGAGATGAAACCTAGAGAGTAAGAGGACTTTGGTCGGTGCAGGGAAAAGAGAAACCTGGGCCTGTGGAGTTGTGAGGAGATCGGTGGAGCACAGCGACAAAGGGGATGGATGATGGTGATGGGGGGATAAAAGTCTACCAGCTGCGGCTCCAAAGGGAAAGGGGAGAGGAGGAGTCATTTAGAAGTGAGAACATGGAGAAGGGAACCACCTACCTGACCTGGCCCTGAGGTATGTGCATGTGAAGGAAAATAACAGTCCCCTGTGAGGGGACACAGGGAAGTGCGCCCCTCAGGGGATGCCAGCCTCCAGCTGAGGCAAGAGGGGAACACTTTCAGAAGAGGGTAACGATGCAGGGGAACTGGCTGTCACTCATCAGGCATCATGAAGGATCCAGGAAGGAGAAAAAGAGGGGGATGAGGGCTGAGTCCATGCAGGGGATACTGGAGCAGTGAGGTGTGGGAGTGCCAGCGAGAGGCCCAGGGACGGTGGCCATCATTGCAAACAGTTAACCTCCCAAATCCTTAACCTCTGAGAAGCTCCTTTCTCCTGGTTCCAGGTGTGGCTGCCGGGCTGTGGTTGTGAGGGCTGGGCTGGGGGTCTTTCTGACCCACAGCAGTATCACAATTAACACGGTGGAATGGGTTGAGCTTTCCGGGGCATCTCACCTGAAGCCCCAAGGTCTCCACCTCCCCTCCTGGGATCTGGGCAGAGAACCAATGCCTGTGGACACTGGGCCCAGGCAGGTGCTGCCCAGCAATAGGCCTCAGCCAGGCTGAGCTTCTCTTGTCCTGGTGGAGGTCTGGACCGAGGCGCCTGAGCTCAGACAAAATTTGCCCCTGAATTCTCATAGGGTCACCTGAGGCCCAGGGGGGCAACTGATTTCATCAACCCTCTCTCCTTCGAGAGATGGTCCCTGATCTTCCACCCTGCCCCTCAACCAGGGCGGCTTCCTCTGTGAGCTCCCAGGCTCCCCAGCCAGACCCTCTGCTGCGACATTGAAAGGATGGAGCTCACGGACATCCAGTAACCGCCAGTGTGGCATAGCCCATGAGCAACGGAGCCAGCTGTCTGCCGAAAAGCCCACGCCCCACTCTGTGCCCTGTGTCTCCACACCCCACAGCCCCTCACACGCACTTCTCACACAGAGCTCACTGAGAACGTGGTACAGGATGAGTGTGGGTATTGTCATCTCTATCAGCAGCCTGATCATCCACAGCCAATGCTGAGTGCCCTCCTGGGGGAACAAGGGCTACAAGACCCTGCAGGACCGTCACTGCCCCCCCCCACCCGAGGCCTGCAGTCAAGCAGAATTGTTAGGACAAGAGTGCACAGGCTAAAACCAAAGGAGTGTCTCCAACAGGAGTCCTGAGGGAATTTGGGGGCCTCACCCCTCTGCCTGTCATAGCCCAGGAAGCCTTCCTGTGCCAAGTGGGACTTGAGGCTAAACCCAGGTGGGTTAAGGTCAGTGTGACTGGGGCTGGTTGGTGACATCAGGACCATCTAGAGAGCTCCTTAAAAAATACAGATTCCTGGCTCCCAGTGATTTTCCAGCAGGACAGGAGTGAGGCCAAGGAACCTGTATTTGTAAAGCACCCTTACATGCAGCCCAGATTGGGACCCACTCATTCAGATATTAGCGGCTACTGTGCATAGAGGTCCCGCTTGATGCTGGGCCCTGGCCTGGGCACTTTCTGTGCCTTGTTGCTTTAAGTCTTCATTGTAGTGTATACGTGTAGATATATCTGTATGTGTACGTGTCTGTGTAATGTGAGGTGGTGATGTAATCCCCACAGAACAGAGGAGGCTGTGTCTCCCACAGGTTGAGGTAGCCCCCACCCTTGTTGATGGCCGGTGGTGGACCTGGGGCTGAC